ACATTGTTGCTTTTTATTCTTGGTGCAGTTCGCTTTCACATAGCCAAGTTTCTAAATGGACCAAATTTTTTAATACAAGTCACGCGTGAGTAAACTGTTCTCTCATTGGTCAAAGTTCCACGGTTTATTTTCCGGGATTCCACTTAGCTGTCACGGCTGTCATCAGTCAGGATGGAACAGGTTTTGTTTTTTTTGTAGCTGTCCTTATATTAATTTATCATTTTGAGCAGGAGTCCAGGATTCATCGGGAAAACATTTTTAAAATGCACCTACTAGGGAGACGAGCAATAAGACGGCATTATAAAATGAAAAAGTGCAAACGAACCGAGCTAAGGGGGGAAACGCGCCAGGTTCCAAAACAACGAGCCAGGTGTGAAAGCACCCTAAGTCGATGTGGATTTGAAAATGCATTCCGAGCCGATCACGCCTCCAACCTGTCAATCATTATATAAAGGTGGGGCTCAGCAACAAGATGCACAATAGATGTAAATATATCCCATTAACCAAACGCTTTTCACCTGCCTCAACATCTCTCACTGTTTTACACTCCGATTGATGCACATAAGCAAACAGACAGTGCAATTCTACACTTTTACCTATTTGCTACCATAATTTATTTATCTCCTATAATGGATTGCGTGTCCCCGAGCACCTAAGCATTGCAGGTGTGTCGCACATCTCACTCTGCACGTGATGCACGTAAGCAAATTCTACACTTATTTACCACCTTACATTATATTTTATTTCTCTTTTTTAATCCGTAACATAGCACGTTTTCCGTGGCACCTAAACGTCACGCGCCTGCCACAAGTGCTCTCACTTTTTACAGCCAGCGGACTCCGCTGATGCCCGTGATTTTTAATATTAAGTTATCTCACTTTGGCTGTGGCATGTTCTGTGACAGCTGCGTCTAGATCGGACTGGTGAAGTGTCATCTGGGGCAGGCAGGAGTAGCAGCGTTTTCTGTATGGTCACGGGCATCAACCGGAGTGTAAACAGACTGAGGGATCTGAAGAGAGGAAGGCAACACCGTGTCTACACCGGACGCGAGCGGCGTGACAAACGACAGTATTGAACCCATTATAATCAGCGATGCTGTCTACACTGGATGTGGCGCGATGTGACACGACAACTGTCGCGTCCGGTGTAGCCACGGTGTAAGGTGGCAAGTAAATGTAGAATTGCACTGTCTGTTTGCTTATGTGCATCAATCGGAGTGTAAAACAGTGAGAGATGTTGAGGCAGGTGAAAAGCGTTTGGTTAATGTGGAATATTGACCTATTGTGCGTCTTGTTGCCGAGCCACGCCTTTATATAATGATTGACAGGTTGGGGGTGTGATCGGCTCAGAATGCATTTTCAAATCCACATTGACTAGTCTATACTGATCGCAGGGTATTTAATGAAAATGCAATTCAAACCTCTTAAGTGTAAGTGTCAATTAGTGATGGGAGAAATTAAGCTATTCGAAGTATTGAATCAATTGCTTCGAAAAAATTTTCGATGTTTCGAAGCACTTGAAACAGCACATGCTGGCGACACCTGCTAGTGAAAACATTGTAAAAGCATCAAGAACTCAGACCAAACTTACAAAACAAATGGAAATGTTTTTTTAGAAATATCATTTTTTTAAATAAATAATAAACACTTAAATACTATTAAATATTAGTGCTTGTGTTATGTGTTTTATTTAAGTATAATCAAACCCTTAACACACAATGAGCTAAACTAATTATTTAATGAATTCATTGATTTATGTAATTATTTAATTAATTAAGTGTTTTTATTAGAGTTGTCTATAAAAACCAGCAGGCAAGAGTAGTGGTATCAGTCAGGAGAAGGAGGTGGATTTAATTCTATCATAAGCTCATTTTGTTATTTTTAAGGTATGATGTGATTTGTAGGTTGAAAGTACTGAATGTTTTCACACATTTTTTAAACTATATAGCCATCTGTGTTAAAGGGAAGTTATCTTTTGTTTAACCCACGACATCTGGCCCTGAATTCTTTGTTTTTTATAGTACAATTTCATGGGTTTTCATGTCACATGATTAACTGGGCAACCAGAAGCGGGTGTGCCTCACACGTCCTGAAAAGTGAAGCTGCAGGCTCTTTGATCGCCCCCTGGTGGTTGACTGCAGTACAGGTAATAAACCCCGCCCTCTCCATGTAAACGAATGGGACTTGATAAGTCCCAAAATAAATTAGACTTCCAATACAATAGGCCCTTTTCACATGACGTCACACAACTTCTGTTCTGACGCGAAGCAGGGTATTCTTACTTCCGCCAGCATAGTAAAGCGCTATTGCTACCAGCATGGAGTTCACCCAGACGCTTGTACAACTGCCACAAATACGATTAGAGGATGACTGCTGCTGTCTATTCTCGTCCTCATTCAGGTAGAGGCGTCTGGCATCTCAAACGAACTTACCGAATACCGATCGGCGAGATTTGCCGCTTGAAGTCGAGGAAGGAGTTGAAAACGGAGCACTGCAGTAACTGATTCCCGCGACTCTCGAATATATTTCTCAAATAAACAAACGTTTTAAACATTTACATGTGGTAACAGAAAGCCTTTTCATTCAGTAATTTATGTCCTGAATGAAATGTTTGAAATGTTTTATGTTTACTGTGTGGAGATGTTTGGTCTCGTTCTGTATCGCGTATCTTATCGCTTGCTTGGCCATTTGTTGCGGAGAAAATAAGGAAAGTGTGTCTCGCGTGAAGGCCTCCTCGTGTGAAGACCGAAGAGTGTAAAGACCATCGACTCCGGTAAAAGGGACACCGGCAAAGGATAAGTATCACTTTTGATTTCTCCTCTTTCCTATTACTTGTTTTCGCTTCTGTTTCAGTTTTTATAACCATTTCTTACTATGTGTAAGTAAGATGTTGTTTTTTTAGCAAGAAAGTTTGGCAGTGTTATTTTTTAGGATTACTGATAAACTACTGTCGTTTGATATGTATTATTTGTATTTGTTATTTATTTTAATTCGAGTTACATTATGTCTGAATTTATTATGTCTGTGTAGGTCTTTTATTAAGTTTTTAGTTTTATTTAATTTGAGTTATTTTAATACTTCAACAAACTAAATGGAAATGAAATAATATATATATTCAGAACATTTGATTCATTCGCGCTGGAGCCGTGCCGCCGCACAACCCACGCAAGCTAGATAATTCTGCACACAGCTGCAATTCCAGGTTTTCAAACAGAGATGGCGACAAAGAGGCAAAACTTACGGACTGCAGCTTTAAATATCAATAAAATGGGGTCTATAATTTTCCGTTTTATTATTTAATGTAATTCAGAAATATTAAATGTATTAAGTTTATATAAAAAGCTTTTACAGTTTAAAAACAGATAACAGCATTTGTGTAAATAAATATAAAACGTAGGTCATAACTGTTTTTTTAAAGATCACATTGCATAGCCTATAACAAAAATAAAATATGGTCGATCATATTAATCAATAATAATTCACAAAGTAAAAACACAGTATACATGTAGTTAAAGCGAAATTGAATGGAGGAATTTAAGTAATTGTAGAAGTCCAAGTTCTGTTGAACTACCTTTTTGTATTGTTTCAATATTAAGCCATTTTATTCTTGAACTGGATAACGAGTTTCTTTTCAGACCACTTGCCTTTTATGGATGTGAAACTTGCCATGTGTAGTAAAAAGATTTAATATAAAAAATATGACTTGTGTCCATGTAATTTTCCCATAGTAAATAAAAACAAAATCACGTTGTCTTTTTATTGCCGAACTATACAGGGAATTTAATTTACACAGTGTACTCACAAATTATCCAAGGAATGACATAAACCGAAATAAGTGAGAAGGTTTCAAGGATGTATTTTGTGTGGACACATAATCGTTGTCATACAAATCTGAAAGCAAGCAGTTGCGGCAAGTAAGCCACCCATCTAAAGCAGATGCAGAAAACGTTTGCAAAAGAACCCGACTGTAAGTACATTAACATTATTAGTCTGAACTTTTAACTAACGCCTTTCATATTTCAAGTTTTTTCACATTTTCCAGAGAAGTCTCTGAGTAAAGAGACCATTACTGAAGAGTAAAGGTATAACGGAAGTACAGATACACTGCTTTGCGGGAAAGCGGAAGTTAGCTGACGTCACTGTGAAAAGGGTCTATTTTCCGAAAGATGGTTTTGGTCTTTTAAAGTAGTTGATATCACGCTAATATATGTTAAATTCTTCGTTTTTGTGATAAGTTTGATTTTAGCTAGTAATTTGATGCTATAAAAACGGGTGTGTCGTAATGTTGATTGGGTCTGCGGGAGTTAGGGTGGGAGTTTGAGGCAGCTCCACCTCACGACACTACTGTGCAGACTCTGGCTCCAAACGAATTTCTACTGCGCAGACTCTGGCTCCAAATGACGTCATTTACTCAAGATGGCAGCGGCCATACTGAGATGCTTTGGCTTAACTTTTCTATAGTGGTAGGAAGTGGAGACGCGTCGTCCATCTTTTTTTACAGTCTATGACCAGAAGTGGTTCATGGGTTCACTTTGAGATCAACACCCCCTAGTGGTGAACCATCGGAGTTTCGAAACAATTTGATTTGTATAAGCTTCGTTTGCTAAAATCACGTGACCTGGCCGGTTTGATACGCGCTCCGAAACACTGATTCGAAACAAAAGATTCACAAATGTTTCGAAGCTTCGTGAAGCAGTGTTTCGAATGCGCCCATCACTAGTGTCAAGACGTAACAAAGCTTCGTTTGTCAAAATCACGTGACCTGGCTATGAACTGGTTTGATACGTGCTCCGAAACACTGATTCGAAACAAAAGATTCACAAATGTTTCGAAGCTTCGTGAAGCAGTGTTTCGAATGCGCCCATCACTAGTGTCAATGCATTTAAGAAAAATAAAAGACATTTAAATCACCATTTTTGCTACCATTTTGCTGCACATTTGGCTCAGAGTGCATTTTGAAATTCACACTGCATTTTGCTACAATTATCACGCGGTATCACGATGAAAATGCAATCCCATGTGTCCTACCCGTAAGTCTAAATGCATTTAGGAAAAATGGCATTTAAATGATAATTTTGCTACAGTTTTTGCTTGGACATGTTAAACATATCTCATCAATTTGGGTAATACAATTTCATTTTAATTTTGCAACTTATAAAGCATTAAAATATGTTTTTAATTTACATATTAAAACTAGTGTAGGAAATGGCAATTCAATTTTCATTTTCATTTTGCACTAAATGTTGAACATATGTATAGGAAAATGTAAATTTAAATACAGAAATACATTGCCATTTTACATATTGCATTGTCATTTTGCATATTACATTTCAAAATGAATTTTGCTACCCATATGCTTCCATAATCTACAAAATTGTGTATTGCTCAGTAAATATACATCCATGACATTTAATATTTTGGCTTACATCACTATACATGTTTATCTTTTTCAGAAAAAAAAATATTGACAAAATGAAAAATTTGAATGGGAATTTTCTAAAATTTGTTTGATTTGACACGGAATGACCCTGTTGTATGTTTTGCCAAGAGTAAAAGATCCCACAAAATATTGTAGTTACAGTAAGAGTGATCATTTGTGATGATGTTGTTCAGTCAGAGGCTGTCTCATTCTTCATTGGTGTGTTCAAGGAATTTCAAGGAATCTTTATTCTATGATGTCATGGGTAATCCAAAAGATGTGTGGTTTTGGTTGTCCATCTATTACTTTTTCGGTTTTTAACCCCTAAATTCAGGGGAAGTAACAGAAACCGCTGCGTAAATGTTCTCAAAGTGTGGTCTCCTTTGCTCTGTTTGCAGGTGAACTCAGAAGAACATGCTAATGCCGAGGGTGAGGCCACTGTGTGGACACGCATCATCCCTGAAGAAATTCTGGGAAAGATCTCAGGGGTGAAGGAGGTTCCTGCAGAAAGGATCACAGTTTGGATTGATCCACTGGATGCCACTCAGGAATACACAGGTCTGGTGCAACTCTTTATTCCTAATGTAAATTAGTTCCCTTTTTAACTGCAAGCATTTCAGGAAAGAAGCAGGAAGAAATAGAATTTCTTGAATCACATTATTTATGTAGGTTATCTTTGTTTGAGTTGCATTTTTTTTTTAATTTGTAGTTTTATTTTGTAAGTTCTGCTGTTATAGTATGAGGAACAGTTTTATGTTTCTTCAGTGCAAAGGTGCTGTACCAGGTTATAAATCCTGTTTGTGCTTTCAACAGAAAATCTCCAGAAGTATGTCACCACTATGGTGTGTGTGGCTGTGGATGGGGATCCTGTTATAGGCGTGATTCACAAACCCTTCACTGGGTACACAGGTGTGTTATTTTGAGGTTTATATGCAAAACCAAATTAGCAGGTGGCTTTGGATCCAGGAGGCATTTTGGGAGTGTAGTGACGTTCAGAGGAATAAATGATTTGTGGTTTTCACAGTTAATTTTTTGCAAATATTTTGTAAATTATTGGCAACAACAAATATGTGGTTCTTTGAGAGGAATTACACAGTGTTTAATGATTAACATTACCAATGTGTAATGATTAAGTGCATTAACAATATAATAATATGAGACTTTAAATTAGCCAGTTACTATTATGATTTCTAGTGTCTTTAATGACAATTATAATGGTTCACTATTATCTATGAGGGCAGTAATGGTCATTATACTTGCACTGTTCTGTTCTGACCTCGTGTTTTTAATGAATTCACACTGTGGTGCTCAAACATGTGTTCTCATCCTCAGCATGGGGTTTTGTTGGAGAGGGATCCAATGTGGCACCTCGTGCTTCCTACAACACAAACGTTCCTAAGGTGATTGTTTCACGCTCACACTCAGGCAAGGTGAAGAGCTTTGTTCAGGTGGCCTTTGGCAACAATACGGAAATTATACCAGCAGGGGGTGCAGGTACTGCATTCTGTAAATCATCCCCTTTTGAAAAAGAAATGTTTTACAGTTTTTCTCAATCACTTTGGCACAGTTCTCAAATGAGAGTTTTTTTTCTCGAAACAATACGTTTCTTTTTCACATCAGATTTGAATTTCTTATTTAAGCAAATTGTGTGTTTTGGCATGTGTGCAAATGAGTAAGTGCAATTGTCTAAAATTTACACAATAACTAAATGCACATGGCCTGTTATTCAAAACTGATGAGTTGATTCACTGTGAAATTGTCAAACTCTTCACAACTTCTAAATGTTCTTTCATTGTGTGAGCCATCACATGCAAAATGATTCGTTCAATTATCAAAATCTATCAGACAAGCCCAGTCAAGTCACCTTTATTTATATAGCGCTTTTAACAATACAGATTGTGTCAAAGCAACTTTACAGCATTAAATAGAAAAATAGTGTGTCAATAATGCAAAATGACAATAGTAAACACTAAATTTTCAGTTAAAGGCAGTTCATCATTGAATTCAGTGATGTCATCGTCCAGCTCAGTTCAGGTTAAATAGTATCTGTGCAATCAAGTCGACGATATTGCTGGAAATTAAGTGTCCCCAACTAAGCAAGCCAGAGGCAACAGCGGCAAGGAACCAAAACTCCATCGGTGACAGAATGGAGAAAAAAACCTTGGGAGAAACCAGGCTCAGTCGGGGGGCCAGTTCTCCTCTGGCCAGACGAAACCAGCAGTTCAATTCCAGGCTGCAGCAAAGTCACATTGTGCAGAGGACTCAACTGGTTCCTGTGGTCTTGTCCCGGTGGCCATCTAGGAGACAAGGTTTTCACTGGGGATCTGTCTCTGGGGCACATCTAGTTGTCCTGATCTCCACTGACATTCAGGGCTGTCGAGGTCATCTCCTAGGTGCTGATCCACCATCTGGGCTGGATACGTACTGGATCCAGGTGACTGCAGTGACCATCTGATCTGGATACAGACTGGATCTGGTGGCTTTTAATTGGTATGTTTAGCCGGGCCGCGAAGGAATATAGAGCTGAGTATCATCAGCATTCAGCATAACAGTGAATGCTAACACCATGTTTCCTGATGATATCGCCCAAGGGTAACATGTAAAGCGTGAAAAGTAACAGCCCTAGTACTGAGCCTTGAGGTACTT